TATTGCTATATCACGGTTTCAAAACTCTATAGCTGTTGCAATTATGCATGAGCTATGTTTTGTGAGTCTTCAGCACAACACTAGAATAGGCCTTTAAAGTATTTAATTTCAGTAGTTTAAAGCCAATGACACATAGAACTCCCAGATTTGACAAATCAAACATAAGTACCTTAGAGAAGAAAAAGAAAAAAAAATCCATACTCCCTATTTCTCTCTGGAAGGCAAACAAGCCACTTTACTTGCGTGCTTTTGAAGTATTCCACTGAAAAATAGTGTGCGACAGGGCACTGAAATGCCTTCAGCACAAAACGAACCTGAGCCGTAGAAAGCCAAAGGAATTAGTCCTTCCAAATTGAAAGCCTGCAAAGTCACAGAGGCACCTCCAATGGCGTGTTTAGTTTTTCTTCATTCTGCCTCTCACAAATTAAAGACAACTTTCTGTTTACACAGCCCTTCAAAGGCAAGGACTTGGTTTGATCTTTATGATTGTCTTTTCTGACTATGAAAGAAAAAAATGTGGGAATTCTAGTCAAGATGACTCTGTAACTTCACAGTTTGATGCTCCTTCTTTGTGTCAAACACAACACAATGATGTAGAAAATTAATAAAAAAAAAAAAAACAGATAACTAAAAATCTAAAACAAGAGAGATATCTTCCGAGACAAGAAAGAGACAAAAATGCAAAGCAGCAGAAGAGATAATACTGCAGGCCTGCCACAACGTAGGTCTGGAAACTGGGAAGCTCAGCTTCTCTAGGGAAAAGGGAGCTAAAACTTCTCACTCAAAAATATTTGTGAAAACTCACACACACACACACACACACACACACACACACTGTCCTCTGGGATTCTGACTTGTAGCAACACTAGAAGAAAACAAAAGACGATGTCCTGAGCAGAACTACCAAATATCCATTACCCAAGGTTTTAGTTCCAATGGAGAGGGACAATACGAGTGGGGAAGAAGAGAGGAAAACAGAAATATTTCCCACTCAAACTCTGCACAGCACAATATCAGAACGCATGATGAGACTGAGGAAGAAAACAAGCAAATCAGCAAATATAAAATGAATCACTACTAAAATTATTTTTTATGTATAAATCTGATGAAAACTAAAATAAGTGTTTTTAGGATGCTAGAAAGCATAGATGAAAGAACATTTATTTTAAAGGAAAAATTATAAAAGCAAATTAAGTTAACTCCAAAAGTGTGGAAAGGATTCAGAGTATAGGGGATAAAAGAACATTTTCATTGAAATTTATAACTCAATAGATAGAATAAATGGTCCTGGAGAAAAAAGGTGTCTAGGAAAAATACAGGCTAGAGAAATGAAGAGAATATTTTTTCAAATGAAAGCAAGATTAAGAAATTTAGAGAACAACTTAACAGGATTTCTAAAAATGTCTAATATAAGCTCTAGAAAAACTCTAGAAAATGATTTTAGAGAATGTCAGAAAGCAATAGTTGAGGTGATTCAGGTGAGAACTTTCCAAAATTAAAGGAATATGTAAATCTTGAGATCAAAAGTGCATTCAGAGTATTATGAAGAATAAATAATGCTTGCTCCCCACCTAGACTCATTATCACAGATAAAAAAAGATGGTCTTAAAATTGTAGAAAGAAAAATTAGAAGAACAAAAGAGCAGACTTTAAATGGAACTGATAATGACTTCACATCAATAACAAATTGCAGAAAATCTTGTACTATGTTGAAAGTTCTAAAAGAAAAAAAAATGTAAAATTTTATGCCTAGTTAAACTATTATTCAAGGGTGATGAAAGATGATAAGACTGTAAGTTTACTATCCACAAATTCTCATTGCAAGAACAATGAACAATGTACTTAGCAAGAAGGTTGATGGATAGACGTACCTGGAAGGAAAGCATAGAAAACAAGAAAACGTCAGTGAATTATTGAATTCTTAATTTGCTTTTTATAAAAACTAATTTTTTGTTTTAAGAGGTGAAATCGAGCCTGACCAGTGTGACTCAGTGGATTGAACATCATCCCACGGACTGAGAGGTCCTGGTCAGGGCACGTGCCCAGGTTGCAGGCTCAGTCCCCAGCAGGAGGCTAGCAGGAGGCACCTGATCGATGTTTCTCTCTCACGTCTATGTTTCTGTGTCTCTTTTCCCTCCTCTCTCTCTAACAAAATCTATAAAGACATATTCTTTCTGAAAGAAGTGAAACTGAAAAACACGTTCAATATCAAAATTTAGAAAACGCAAGTAAACAAAAGAGACAAATTAAAAATTATTCTCATTCCACATGTAAAGATAGCCACTGTTAATATTAGAAAAAGTAGTTCTGGTATAATCTTTATTAAAATGCTGTATCATCCAAATTGTCTTTATCTCTTTTCATATTTTATACAAATATCTTTTCATTCCATTAATTATTATTCTATAGCTCCTATTTAAAACCTGGATAGATTTCAGTTACATAAAAGTACTTGATTTAGTTCACCAACACAATCTCCTTTGTTTACCTTTTTACAACCCTTCCCTTGATTTCAGATACCCTAAACTTACGGTTTGAGCAGGATCTTCTAAAATTTTTAAATTAATTGTATTTTCCAAATCTGAATGCTTCTACCAAATTGCTTAACATTCCTGAAGACTATAAATCTAACCAACCAGAATGTTAAGGACTCTGAAAAATATATCTGTTTTATCACATTTTAATTTTTTAAATAATGCAACCTGAGTATTTAATTTTGAATTCCATTACAAGCTATGTTAGCAGAAGTAGATGAACACTTCAACTTGACTGTGTAATTTATTTTCATAAAATCTCTTTAGAGATCCCTGTCTAGTCAGCAAATAATTGCTTTAACTTTGGGTTTTAATATTAGCACTGAATGATTTATGTACATTAAATAATGTGATTCTCACTCACCATTTATGAGCTAAGAATGATTATCTCCCTTCTGTGGATAATCACACTTCAGGGAAGAAAGGTTAAGTAGTTTGCCTAAGATCACTCAGCCAGTCAATGGATTTTCTCAAAATATGATCCTTCAGTCTTTAAATCATTAGATTCAGCTGGCCTCAGCAATACTTGAGAGACATAAGGGATATGCACTTAAATGTTTTTTCTCAAATGATTTATGTGGCATAATGTCTAATTTGTATAGAGAGCATTTTTTGTTTCTTCTGACATAACTTGGTCTATAAGCAAATATGAGGCATAAAAATGAACGTGATAAGAATCTACACGTGCAAAACTCTTCTGGTGGAATTAGAGTATCAGTTTCTAAAGTAGTATACAGACTAAGCAGACAACAGAAACAACCAATCCAATTGATGGAAAGGTTGGGGGGTGGGAGGCAGGAAGTAACAGAAAGCAAATAAAGCAGAGGGGCTTTCTTTCGTAGATCTGCAGTTCAGGGTTAGAATTAACAGGCTGTAAATGAAACAGCGAGGTCTTACTTCTGAATTAGGACATGTGCATTGCCTCAGAGCTATTTCACCTGCAAAATAAAGCTTCATACAGGTTTGCCTGCCCATATCAACTATGATGGCAACTGTGCTTCACAGATCCTTACCACACGCAGTTCACACAAACGGACACTCTAGAAGTTATCACTAGAATTTTCAACAGTGATCTGATCAGAATTAGAAGTGACCTTGGTAAACTAGAATGGAGGCCAAAGAAGTAGTGGAATGATGTATTGCCAGGAACATATCAGATTTGTATTTCTAAGGAAGAGGGGATCAGCAGAGAGTTGTCTCTTTTGGATTGGAGAGGGGAAAGGGGACATTCCAGTTTGTTTTCTCCTTACACTAAGTCTCCAAAGTTAATTCTAAGAAAAAAACCTCGGTAAGTGATTTAGCCAATGAGTGTTTAATAAAACCGACATTTTATTTGAAAAGTGGAATTACCAACTGATCCGGTTTGCCTGGAACTTTGCTGGTTTTAGCACAAAAAGTCCCATATCTTGGGAGCCCTTACAATCCTAGACAAGTTAGAGTAGTTGCTTAAAATTAAAAATAAAGCCCTGGCCGGTTTGGCTCAGCGGTTGGAGCATCGGCCTGCGAACCAGAGAGTCCCAGGTTTGGTTCCCGCTAGGGGCACGTACCAAAAAAAAAAAAAAAAACTAGGCATGTTCATTGTCCAAAACTTAAATACAAATAAGCAAAATTGAGCATTGAAATCATTCACACATCAATATGCAGAGATTGTCACCGTTAGAACCAGTAAATGTATTTCCTACTGTCTCTATGAAGTCAACTTCATAACAGTACAAGTTACTATTATTACATATGTCAAGTGACAGGATAATATAATTTGAATTGTCTTTTAAAATTATATTTTGGAAATATGCTGAGTACTCTAATATGTGTACCTTTTCTGATTGCATCGTTCTATAATTCTGATAAATTTCAATGAAGTGTTGACCATTTCTGCCATTCATTCTACAAATCTCCTTAACCTTATATTTTTCTTTATCTCTGAAACGCAGTACCAGCCAGTACATTAGCAGCATGCTTTCTGAATTCTGATAACTGTATCACAGTGTAATCTCACTGCTCAGGGGTATGCAGCCTTTTATTTCTTATTCCATTTCTATTTCCCCTGTAGGCCAGGAAGGGGAAATTTCTACCTAGGGAGTTTAGCATCATTTAACATTGATGTTACGTGTCCAACAATCTCCTACATGAGTGAGACCATATGTCAACCACACTTAACACAAAATTTATCAATACCTACTTACCCACATAAAGTCCTTTTTGTTTTGTAGGGGTTTAACTTTCTGAAAGCATTTCAAGTCCTTGTTGAAAGACAGGAGGAAAGAAGGAGAATAAAATGCAGTGTTAGAAAAGAAATATATCTTTTATCTATCCTAAAATGTTCACACTTGGTTGAGGACATATTTCAGGATTATTGTGATCCAGAAATTACTTCTCTCATTGAAGAGTACTTACCATCCATGTGTGAAGTTACCCTGTTCTCACCAATAACACATACATTAATGGCTTCTTCCTTTTTATCTCCAGCTTCACAATGTCTACTGGCAGCCCTTGTATGATTGAAATGACTGCAGATGGAAAACCTCCAATACAGAAGAAAGACACAGAAATATTGCTTGCCTCTCAGGTAGGCATGCATATATCCAGTTTCAAGCAATACTAAATGTGCCTTCCATGTTTCAAATAAGTATTTATTTTTAAGCCATTGTGTTAATCATATGTTTGATTGAACACATGCCTTGTAAATCTCTGAACAAAACACCAGAATATTCATCTCTGATACTTTGGGTATAATTAAATATATTTAACGTTGCCTGTCACTATAAAAGTTTTATTAAATTTAGCATGAAATTGATTTTCTTCTCAAACTTGGCATATAATATATTATGCTTGGTTTAAGAAAAAGCTCAGGAATCTGGAAAGATTAGCAAAATGCAAAACAGTGTTTAAAAACTTATGTTGTTATAAGACATGGAAGTGCTTATACCGTGCTGTTAAAAATGTCTATTCTCAGTTGTTCATATTCATGTTGGCCAGGATATTTTTCTTAGAAACACTGAATAAAGCTAAATTGAAACAAGAGAGGATGTCTGTCTCTCCAGAGACCAGGCAATTTGCTAAGTTCTTTTTATTTTAATGATGTGGTTGGTTCCACGCTTCTTAGTATGACTTTATAGCAATACATTGAAGATAAAGAATTCCTGGTTCATTTGATCATCATGGTGAGTTAATCTGTATAATTAGAGCTCCAAAGTGCTAATTTTGGTACACATTAATGCTTTCAGTGTGTAGTGCCCTAATGAATTGGAAATTTCATTTTATTTCCATTTTTTCTATGTGGTCTCAGTTGAGTATATGCAGGCATTTAAAAGAAGCACATGAGAACATCTAACATTTGCATAGGCACGTTACATTTCCCAAATTGTGGCCACATATATTATCGCATCGGATCCTTACAAGAACCCTCCAAAGTAATAATGATTATCCCTTATATAAACCTGAGGAAACTGAGTGTCAGGTGTCCCAAATTTCATAGTGAGAAGGACAGACTCCAGGTGTTCAGATTCCCTTCCCTTTTATGTTCCTTTTCTAATACACTTGGCTAGTCCTCACTTGCTGCTGCACAAGATTCAAAACTGTCAGATGGGTTAAGTAGGAATTAAATCCGTTTTCATGCTTTAGGAAGTCATGCTGGTGCCCATGATGGCCAAATACTTAGATTCAAGGCATGGAATATTCAAATTATGGAAAGTGTATAGAACACTAATAGATTTTTGGTTTTGGTTTTTTTGTTTGTTTGGTTGGTTAATCTTCACCTGAGGATATTGTTCCATTGCTTTTTAGAGAGAGGAGAAGGAAGGGAGGGAGGGATAGAAAGAGAGGAACATCAATGTGAGAGAGGCACACCAATTGGTTGCCTACCACTCATACTCCAACTGGGACTGGGGTTAGAGCCTGCAACCCAGGTGTGTGCCCTTGACAATGGATTGAACTCGTGACCCTTCGGTGCACAGGCCAACACTCTAACCACTGAGCCACACCAGCCAGGGCACTAATCGTTTCTTTTTAAATACCCAATATAAAGTATTCAGTGTGATTTATATTTATTAATTCCTTGTAGTCATCCATTTTTATATTAAAAGCTTCATACTTTCTTATAAATAACATATAATATACTACTAATATAGTTATCAATGGATCATATTTTTAACAAATGGAATTCAACAAATGTTTGATTAATATCTTTCTGTTGTTGAAAATGATAAATATGTCTTATGCCTGTATCCTTTGTGACAAATCAGTCTCCTCACACTTTTGATTGCTTGAATGAAATACCAATCAGAATGCCCCCAAGTAATGTAAATGCACACCCAAAGACCAAGACATGGGCATACACCTTATAATTAAATGTAAAACACTTGGGGTAGTTTTAGGGTGGTAAAGAGACCACGCACTTAGGCTCTCTAAAGTTTTTTTACAACATTCTGCCTCCTGTGTTCATCCCAACTCAAGTGCTCTGAAGTCTGAATGAACACGGATGCCTTCTAGAGTGGGTTAACCCCACAGCTCATTTAGTCCTGCTGTGGAGGCCCTTTGTCGTGAGGCCTCACAGGCTGGGCCCAGTCCTGGAGGTATGGTTTGTGATGGGCTCCTGGAGCCAGCCTCCAGTTGTTTGTTGTGAGTACACCTTTTTGCTGCTCCCTTTTCTTCTTTTATTACAATGAGAGGATGGTGGAAATGTGTGGAATATGGATATAAGCACTGAGGATTTTGTAAACTGAAGCCACTTAATTTTAAAAGTCATGAATTTTAACACAAACTATTATAAATATGTTCTAACCCTGCCTCTGCTCATTATAATATAATAGAGATTTTTAAGTAGATTATAATGTGTCTTTGTGTAGGCCTCTTTGTGTTCATTCTTGTTTTAGTCTTTTGGGCTTCCTGAATCTGGATATTCATTTTCTTCCCCAGGTTTGGACAGTTATATCATTAAATAAGCATTCTGCCCATTTCTCTCTCTTCTCCTTCTGGGACTCCAATAATGCTTATATTAGTCCATTTGATGATGTCCCATAAAGCCTTTAGACTTTCTTTACTCCTTTTTAATCTTTTTTCCCCCTTTTGCTCCTTTAACTGTATAATTTAAAATAACTTGTCTTCAAGTTTGCTGGTTCTTTCTTCTACTTGACCAAGTTTTATGTTGAATTCCTCTCATGAATTTTTTTAATTGACTTTTGTATTTTTAACTCTAAAATTTCTGTTTGCTTTTTTATTATATTTCTCTTTGTTGAAATTCTCATTTTCTTTATGATTCATTTTCAGGAGCTCATTGAGCAGCTTTATGACAGTTATTTTGAATTTGTTGTCAGGTCATTCATACACCTCCATTTCTTTGAGGTTGCTTTCTGGGCTTTTATTTGTCCCATGATTGATAGTGTTTTCCTGTTTCTTCTTGTGGCTTGTGATGGGATCCAAACATGTAAAAAAAATGCAGCCATCTTTCCCAGTGTTTATGGAATGGTTTTGTATAGGAAAGAAGCTGCACCAAATAGCCCAGCTAGAGATTCTGGGACCCTCACAAGCCTTTTCTAAGAATGCGACTTGTCTAGATGTGTGTGTGTGTGTGTGTGTGTGTGTGTGTGTAAATTCTTTATTTTACAAATTTGCCAATGTCTTTTGTGGATTGCTTGTAATTTTTTTGCCCCCTCTGCTGTCTGACTGCAGTACTGCTGGTTCTCTGGGCCTGCAGCAAGCCACCCAGGTTTCTTTTGTTCTCAGCAGCCCCCAAGTTTCTCCACTACACTGAGTCTCATCATAGCTCCTACTTGAGCAAAATACAAACCAGTCTCTCAGGAAGGCCCCTGAAAATCCAAAATGTTAGAAGCAGTTCTTCTCTTCTCTACCCATGGCCCCCACCCATCCCCCTACTGCCCCAGGAAGAGGCCACTGAGCTGAATCAGTCTCTACTCTATCACAGGTCCTCTGGAGAAGCAGGACACCATCTAGTTCTCTCTCTCTCTCTCTCTCTCTCTCTCTCTCTCTCTCTCTTCAGTAATACCCAGGCATCTGGAGTATGCCAGGTCCTATCAGTGTTCCATGACAGGCTAGACAGAAACCCATTCTTCAGGTAGCACCTGAAAAGCCATAATTTTAGATGCACATTCCAACTCTTTCCATCCCCAGGAAGAAGTCAGGAGTTGGGGGTTCCCACCCATTCTCTTCCACTGGAGTGGGGGAGGGACTATGCTGAGTGAATACATGCTGGTCCAAACCTTCACCTTTGTTCTCACTGGCCCCAACCTGGCACCCTTTCCTGTTAACACTTAGATTCAGATAAGACAGCCACTGGTCTTTTAGGCAGCACCCTGAAAAATCTACACATAGGATATATGTCTTAGCTTTCTATTTTCCCCAAAGAGAAGCTGGAAACTGAAAGTTTTCTCTTTATCCTGCCACACTGAGCCGAGGGGAGTGCTATGGTGAATGAGTGTCCCATATGTTTCTGCTGGTCTCAGAACAGCTGGTTTCAGCCACATAGGGTGCAGGTACCTCTCAAATGAATCTATACATTCCTCACAAGGAGACTCGGTCTGTGTGTTGTGAAATCAGTGTCTCCGTGAGAGAAGGAAGGAATATCTGGAGCTTCCTATTTGCCATCTTACTGACCAGAAAGCTGCTGTTTTCTGACTATTTTATTTCTTTATGATTTACTTCCCCAGATAACATTTAACGTCCTTATAGACGAGAGTGATCTCACATCCTTCTTTTCTGTCTCCACTTCCCTATAGCCATGTGCTCACAGGGTAGCAACTCAATTTATTAATTACTAAAGTTCAGGTCTTCCTTCAACTGGTGAGAAGATATATTATTTTGAGAACATTTTCTAGCCTAGAAAGCCTTAAGAATCAAAGGTTTAATGGTGAAGTGTGGGACCCATGAGGATTTCAGTGATATTTATCAAATTAAAAAATAACCCTTTGTGTGAGCTCCTTGATATTAATCTCATCTGTAACTCAAGAACTTCCATAAACGCACTGCCCTGTACTCTGTGTTGTATATAGATAGATAGATGATAGATGATTGATAGATAGATAGATAGATAGATAGATAGATAGATAGATGATAGATGATAGATAGATAGATCGAGATAGACATAGACATAGACATAGACATAGACATAGACATAGACATAGACATAGACATAGATATATAGAGAGAGACATGTTATCATTAAAGCCACAGTAATACTCCTTGGATGGTATTCACTGAGGACCATCCATATGCTGAATCTGGCAAACCAGCAAGTTTCTAAGGCAGCATGAAGCAGGAAAAGAGGCCTCAAAGCCAAGTAGAAACTGAAAGAAAGCAGGATTGGGTTTCATGAATCAGGTCATGTGGACAAACTTGTGTCAAACCTCCTCTTTGCAAAGTGCTGCTATAGACTCGGAAACCCAAGTCAACGAGGAGTGGAGGCCAAGCTCTAAAGGGGTATAATTAATATAAAAAAGACTGTGAACATAAAGTACCATGTCACTGGGGAAGGGGGAGCAAATAACAGCAAAGGGATGGAGGGTCTGGATTAATCCTGCTTCTGCCTTTTAATTCCCTTTCGTTTAATGTCTCTAAACAAAGAATTTAGAACTTAAATCACATGAAAAAGTTATTTAAATAAATCCTCTTCCCAAACAAGTTACCCAACATCTTTTATCTATCTTCATTCCAATACTCCATATCTCTAGTTTTGAATTTGTCTGCATGCAATTCAGATATTAAAAACAAAAATCTACAATAACACTAAGTAAAAGTCAGTCCATTTAAATTTTGTCATTATATTCTTGGATAAAGACAAGTACACTCTGATAGTTCATCTTAACCAAAAAATACATTTGCAGTTACCTTCCTGTATTTCATTCACAAGTTATTTAACTTCAGACAGACTTGAGGATGTAAAACAAAACATTGACTCAAACGTCATAACAGACATGTATGCAGTACCACAATATCTAAATTTAAATGAAGACAAAACAGGAAAGAGAGAAAGCAGCTTTTTATTCATCTTCCCCTTCTTCCCCAGTTTTTAAAAAGTTTATTTCTTTTTGCCTTCTTATTTTATTCCTGCATGTTATAAAAGAGCACTGTATTCTTCCTTTAAAGAGAAACTCTGAGAGTAAAGGGAATGCTCATTCATTCTTGTCAGGTGTGGAGTCCTGTCCCCTCAGTCACCATTCATATTTTTCATTATCTCGATCATTCTTCCTTGATTGTCCATGTCTGCTCTCTGTGGTTTTATCTTGTAAGATCATATCTTGATGTCAGACTCTATTCTCACTAGTCTGATTCACAAGGAGTTCTTAGGAAAGATTTGTTTTAAAGACCTGTCTTCTTAGGAATGATTATACACACAGAAGTCAGCTCTTGGATAATTGAGAGTCTGGGGATAGAGAGAGTCAACCATTTTAATGGTTATCTATGTGCAGTCAATGACAGCTATTTTTGGGTTTTTTAAGACATTGCGGGGCTCCAACTAAGTTTGAGCTTCAGATCAGAAGAAATACAAGAGCCATTTATTTCCATTGTTTGGGTGTTTTTTAATGGTCTAATAAATCATAGATGGCTCTATAGACTTTCCCTTCGATCTGTCTACTACTGACATTAGAGGAGGATATTGTTTCATCCTCAATCAGTTTTATGCTAAATCAGCACACTTGTCAAAGCAGTGAGAGGCTTGCTGTTCCAGGTGTGTGGTCAACACACAAAGATGTCAGAGATCCTCAGTGAGAGGAAGGTCATAGCCTGGGATTTGCTGAGTCTGCAGGTTTGTGATAGATCCCTGATTGCCTTAACCATGAGTTACTTATCTCAGGTGATAAAAGAGCTCTGCTAATAGTTTTTTAGAGTAATTAATATAAATGGACATAGCAGGCTCGTAACTTCCTCGCCCCTCCCGCAACAGTAGACCTCAGGATCCCACTGGCTTGCCTGCACGCCATGGACGACAAGGAAGCAGCCTTTGATGATGCAGTAGAAGAACATGTGATCAACAAAGAGTACAAAATATGGAAAAAGAACACCCCTTTTCTGTACGATTTGGCGATGACCCATGTTCTGGAGTGGCCCAGCTTAACTGCACAGTGGCTTCCAGATGTAACCAGACCAGAAGCGAAAGATTTCAGCATTCATTGACTTGTCCTGGGTACATACACGTCGGATGAACAAAACCACCTTGTGATAGCCAGTGTGCAGCTCCCTAATGATAATGCTCAGTTTGATACTTCACACTACGACAGTGACAAAGGAGAATTTGCAGGTTTTGGATTTGTTAGTGGAAAATTTAAAATAGAAATCAAGATCAACGATGAAGGGGAAGTAAACAGGTCACGTTATATGCCACAAAATACTTGCATCATCGCAACGAAGACTCCATCCAGTGATGTTCTTGTTTTTGACTATACAAAACATCCTTTTAAACCAGATCTTTCTGGAAAATGCATCCCAAACTTGTGTCTTCGTGGACATCAGAAGGAAGGCTATGGGCTTTCTTGGAACCCAAATCTCAGTGGGCACTTACTTAGTGCTTCAGATGACCATACCATCTGCCTATGGGACATCAGTGCTGTTCCAAAGGAAGGAAAAGTTGTGGGTGCGAAGACCATCTTTACAGGGCATACAGCAGTAGTAGAAGATGTTTCCTGGCATCTACTTCATGAGTCTCTGTTTGGGTCTGTTGCTGATGATCAGAAACTTATGATCTGGGATACTCGTTCAAACAATACTTCCAAACCAACCCACTCAGTTGATACTCACACTGCTGAAGTGAACTGCCTTTCTTTTAGTCCTCACAGTGAATTCATTCTTGCCACAGGATCGGCTGATAAGACTGTTGCCTTTTGGGATCTGAGAAATCTGAAACTTAAGTTACATTCCTTTGAATCACATAAGGATGAAATATTCCAGGTTCAGTGGTCACTTCACAGTGAGACTATTTTGGCTTCCAGTGGTACTGATCGTAGACTGAATGTCTGGGGTTTAAGTAAAATTGGAGAGGAACAATCCCTGGAAGATGCAGAAGATGGGCCAGCGGAATTGTTGTTTATTCATGGTGGTCACACTGCCAAGATATCTGATTTCTCCTGGAATCCCAATGAACCTTGGGTGATCTGTTCTGTGTCAGAAGACAATATCATGCAAGTGTGGCAAATGGCAGAGAACATTTATAATGATGAAGAGCCTGAAGGAAGTGTGGATCCAGAAGGACAGGGATCTTAGATTCGTCTGCACTTGTCATTTAGACTGCCCTTTTTCCCCTTTCAACCCTGATATTGATTTAACACTGGTTTTGAGACACAGACTTTGTTCTTCTATCCCTCTGTAATAGGTACCATCAACAATGCTACTGGCCCAAACCAAGGGTGTTTTCTAAATATTAACTGGGGACTTGATTCAGCAAAGCCACAGACTTATATTTAAATTTTCTTCAGGAATTTTCTAGTAACAGAGATCTAAAGTAGCCACTGAGCCCGGGCCGGTTTGGCTCAGCGGTTAGAGCGTTGGCCTGCGGTCTACAGAGACCAAGGTTCGGTTCCCACTAAGGGCATGTACTTCGGCTGCAGTTTGTCCCCGGCCCTGGTCAGGTCGTGCAGGTGGCGGCCACTCGATGTGTCCCTTTCACGTCGATGTTTCTCTCTCTCTCTTCCTCTCTCTCCCTCCCACTCTATCTGAACAAAATATCGAAAAATGTCCTTGGGTGAGGATAAAAAAAATAATAATAATAAAGTAGCCACTGAAAGGCGAATATTGGGTACGGTTGTTTTATTTTTCTTTGTATGCTCTACCCCCAAGTTCTTCAGGCTCATTTAAGTAAAGGCTAGAAGTAAGGAATAGAGCCAAGTGAGGTAGATATGTGAGCCATGAAGTATAAGTACTGCAAGGTGTCATTTTTATTCAGGAATTAGGGGAGATTCAAGTCGTATAAATTCCTACTCTGAAATCTTCACACCTGACTTTTCAAGATGCACATTTCCTATGTAGACCAGTCTCCTCTCAGTCAGTTTCTTGAGTTAAGACAAAACTACGTGTTCCTCTGTTCCATATATTTTTGCTTATTAGTGTATTTCTTGAGCTGTTTTCATATTATTTCTTTCCTTTCTGTGAAATGGTTTAAAAAAAAAAAAAACTTGGGACCACCAAGTTGTAAAGATGTATGTTTTTACCTGACAGTTATACCACAGGTAGACTGTCCAGTTAAGCTGAGAAGAGTGAATCGATAGCTTGTATTTGTTTTTAATATTAAATTAATCCTGGATAAGAGTTGCTTTTCTTTTTAGGAGTTAGTCCTTGACCACTAGTTTGATGCCATCTCTGTTTTGGGTGACCTGTTTCACCAGCAGGCCTGTTACTCTCCATGACTAGCTGTGTAAGTGCTTATAATGGAATAAATTGCTTTTCTACATTAAATAAATAAATAAATAAATAAATAAATAAATAAATAAATAAACCTAGCATATAAAAAAGGATGTGAAAACAAATAAATGTTCTCCTATGCTGCGTGAGGACTCTATTAATACACCTTGAAACCTTTACTCCACTATACCCAAAGCTACTCATCATCTGGGTAACTATAGATGAGTCCTATATGAAGCACTGAGGAAAAAAATAAAGAATGCTCTTAGGAGCAGAGCACAAGTCACTGAAAAAGGATAAGAGCTCAAATAATAGAATTAGTTTGATCTATTATGAGTCATGGAGATGCTTTGATATTTCTAGAATTGTACATGCTTGCTTCTATTCTCTAAAAGCACATTTGCACTAAACAAAAAAAAATAGTAGTATCAATATTAAGTGATATTACTAGGCATCTCCCGTCCTCTCCTCCCACCATAGTCATAACTTAATTCATTGGTTCTAGTTTTTGAATGCTTGCAATGACAGCTTCACATTTAAATGTATCTGTAATACCAAATTAAATACTTTCTGACACCAGCTTGGACTGAGTGAGTGAGTGTTGAGGATAAGCATATCAGAGACATAAACTGTATCCATGCTGCTGCATCTACCTGTCACGTGCCTAACAGCCCTGAAGGTCACAGTCTCATTGCCAGTTCTTCCAGACTTCAACTGTAGCTCATAGATTCCTACTGAGCAAAGCTGCACTGTATGTACATCTAAATGATAAAAGTTCAATTTATTTATGTTGCTGAGGTGTATGAAAGGAGAGATTAGTAGCAATTTATATATGCAAGTGCCTTTTTATCATCATTCTGGTCAATGAGGATAAGCTCTATTTCCAAATAAAGTTACGTTCTGAGGTACTGGAGGTTAGGACTTCAACATATGAGTTCAGTCTGTAACAATAATTAAATAACAAGGTTTCATTGTCTTTATCAGTTATTATTATCAATTCCAAAATACATTTCAAAGTAACCAATCAACAAGTTTTGTCAAATGCCCATTTTTTGTACTAAAATGTATTAGCTATTGTGAGAGATACAAAAGAAATAAAAAATAAGGGCTCTTTTCTACAGTAACTTAACTTACCTCCTAGTAGGGTTGACAAAACTAGCCAACAATTGAAACCTTTTTAACACAGAACAACATGCAATTACAGGCCTGTCTCCTATGATGTAACACCTTATAAGAAGATTTTGTTGTTGTTGTTATCTTTCCTATAGGTACATTTTCAATCAATGTTCCTTGGTCATATTCCTGAAAATGTTAAGATCCATAAGAATGCGGGCCCTATTGATAGGTTCAAGAGCTGCATTGGAGAGCTTCAAGTAAACAACAAAGAATTCTTCATCATTGATGAAGCACTACGTGGAAAGAACATCGAGAACTGCCACGTCCCTTGGTGTGCTCATCATCGATGCCACAACAACGGCACCTGCATTAGGTTAGTATAAGCCTCCTGACCTCTAACTTATATTGCATGACTTCTAATTCTCAAAACAACAAAACCAGCAGCATTGTGATCTGGGTGATAGAAAGAAAGGTCTGGAACATCTAAGTTTTTGCATGCATCGCCGAGGTGATGCACACATGTGGTAGATACTTGTTTGCTCAAAGAAATGTTTATATAATGGCTCCAATGGCAAGAAATTCCTGACCTCTGTAAATAACTAGGTAACTGGACCTGATTTTGACAGTTTTAAATGTATCCAAGTGCAAGTTTACCAAGGTGTTCTGCTTTTTATAAATATGAATGGAAGATTAGTCATTGAGAATGGTTTTGATGCATTAATTTCTATTGTGTTTGTTTTGCTTCATCTTTAAAAAATCTACTTATATCTCTAAAATTAGAGGTGGAAAAAAAGTACCTTTATTTCTTCTTTTAATTTGCAATCCTATGTGTACATTTCCTCCTTCAAGTAAAGATGCATCGTGTTTATAAGCTTAAGATCTTAATTAAAATTATGTTCTGCTCCACTGAAATGTCTTAAGTGACTCAACCCTGAGGGAGTCTCATTTGGACAGTGTAAAACATAATCCCAAATTTCTTCAATCCTCTGAGAAATCTTTCATTCAAGGCTACAAGTAATGACAGCATGGAAGCAGAAACATGTACAGACTATAATAATTCAAGTCATGAAAAAATTTACCAAATCTCACAGGAAATATCTTAATTAATTCACTTCAGTGGATCTAAGGGGAAAGCTATCAAGTCATTAATGACTCCATAAAAGCAAACACCTATATGCATAGTGTAGGAAAGAGAAAAATTCTATTTGCAAAAGGGGGATAGGAAATGGTAGGCAGAGGTGGGCTCTGAAAGTAATTCCTGGACTAGAAAATGATGAGAGAGACGACCAAATGGCAAAGACAAGGAATGGAGGAATGGACAGGAATAATAAAGTCAAGGTAATGTGTTTACCAGATAATCATAGCCTGACTGTAATAAATTTGAAGAAAAAGCATGGTTTAGTAAAAAGGGAAGACATGAGCTCTTAGGGTGTCTAAAACATTTGCTCCTGATTAACTGTATCTGAGTCTGTGACTTGATCTACACATTTGTAATATAACCACAGCAATATAGACCTGTTTCATTTAGGGTAAGTATAACACATAAAGTTTTAAAGAATTTAAAAGAGAGTGCATTTTTTAGGCTAAGATCATGGATAACTTCCTTGGCCACAGTCACTTTTTTGAAGGAAACAAAATCAGGGCCTTATTTAAAAAGCATTCTGTTTTATAATGAATTTGTTAATAGCAATTGTTTTGAAAAATAATAATGCACCCTTATCCAGCAAGACAATCTACCCTGCAGAACAGCTTGCATTTGTGCTTAATTAAGTGAAGAAACTGGAAACAGTTTCTCCTACTGACTTCCTAATATCTGAAGTATTTGTCATGTAACCGAAATAAATATTGTCAATGAGGCTTTACCACTGATTGAATTATAGAAGTAACAAAAATTGTGTGTCCTTCCTTCCTATATGTTATCAACAGACTCTCTCATAGCCCCCATCACCCCCTCTACTGGTATTCAATCCTTTGCATGATCCCCTCTAACATCAGTGTAGATAGGACCAGTGACTTACTTTTAACCAACAGAATAACAAATAGATTAGGGTGATGGGATGTCACTTACTTCCATGATTAGATTACATAGTATTGTGAGCTGCAGCTTGGAAGGACACTCTCTCTCTTGCTGATTTTGATAAAGGATGTAGAAATTTGGGGAAGGTCCATGTGACAAGGCACTGAGGGCGGCCTCCAGCCAACAACCAGCAAGGAGCTGAGGGTGGCCACTTGCCAGCTGTGTATCCAACAAATAAAATGCTTCTTCACATCCTATGAACAACATGATTTCTATTCTTATTACCAGTGTTTAACTCCCATAAATTACCCCTTGCATTACTACACTCAGGACATGCTGGTCCCTGGCAACTCTGACTCTCACACCAGTATGTCCCCATGCACGCCAAAACCACAGGACATTGGATTTGGCCAGTTTCAGTACAACAACAGCAACAAAAATAGGCATTCCAGCTGTTTCATAACAGCAGGAGTGAAAAATTCATTGAAAGCATGGAGCCAAGGGAAGATGTAAAGAATAATTGTTTGGTTCTGAAGCTGGTGACCAGGATACTGGAATAATTGCAGGAAAAAGAGGAAAGAGGATGAGTTCAGTTTGGCCTTTTCATCCTCAAGAGTCAGATGACCATCCAAATGGGGATATCCAAATGTTAGCAATGGTCAGAGCATACGCACAGATTTGGGGCCAACTATGTAGAGCTTATGGCCGATCCATGTAATTCTTAAAAGGAAGCTAACAGAAAAGAAAACAGAGCAAGGAAACATTTTTAGAAAAACTACATTGGAATTTCGTAGGAAGGAGGCAGAATGAGTGGAAGAACAACTGAAAAGAAGGAGGAGGCCATCTGGGGTGCTCTGCACTGGATGTTTGTGCCCCCCCCCAAATTCATATGTTGAAATCCTGATCTCCAATGTGATGCTTCTTGGAGGAGGGACTTTGGGGAGGTAATTTGGTCATGAGGGTGGCGCCATCATGAATGGGATCAAAATTCAATACAAGAGCACAGATGGCTGAGGGGCCACAGAGATCATCAGAACATAAATGCTCTCTGTCACTCTTCCCCAGTCTGTGTAAAACACCAATACACATCCATACACAGAACTTTCCAGCAGTCTGTGCAGTAACCAGATATGGGCTGAGGGTGAGTCCATTAGCAGCCTCAGACCAACCAAGCTGGTCATAAAAAACCACCACCATGACCAATAGCCTGCCTCCAGCAGACACATACCCACACTTGGACTACTATCAGTGGTGTCACGTTTTCCAACCAAGGAACCTGGAGAAACTGTGCTACCAAGCTGAACTGACTTAATGCATTTGTCAACTCGCTTGCCATCTATATTGTTGGCCAAAGCCAAAGTTTCCTTTAGGCTGCCACATCATAAAATGGATCTCTCCAGAATCCTCCCAACTCTCTTCCAGCGCTTCTCAACCTTTGTGTCTTCTGATGCCATCTTCTGAGCCAAGCCAGGCAGACTTCTAAACTCCCCTCCTCTCTTTTCCTGTTTACCCCAAAGTGGGGATTGGATGCAAGACAGCTTTCAAAACAGCAGAGTGATTTAAATGAGATGTATAAATTTGCAACCTTTCTGGATCCAAAGGGAATGGACAAAGTGACCTGGTGGAATTCTTTTTAGGTCTACAGTTTTATTATTTTATTTTCAAAATAATAGACCATCTTTGTTCAGAATAAAAGAGTCATTATTACAAAAATAAGAAGAAAGCTCTTTTACCTCACTGATTTCCTGTCTCAAGATATAGGGACACTAATGTTTTAATACTATAGCAAGTGTGCATGATGCTTTCACTTGAAAATGAAAATAATAATTTCTCATAACAATTTAATTGTTCTAGTCCACAGATTTTCATCTAAGCTTGGGGAGCCCTGGCTGGTTTGGCTCAGTGGTTAGAGCTTTGGCCTGCAGACCAAAGGGTTGCTGGTTTGATTCTCATCAAGGGCAGTACCTGGGTTGCAGGTTTGATGCCCAGCCCCAGTAGGGGACATGCAGGAGGCAGCCAATTGATGTGTCTCTCTCACATTGATGTTTCTCTCCCTCCCTCTCTCTCTCTCTCTCTAAAATCAATGGAAAAATATCCTTGGGCAAGGATTAACCAAAAAAATTAATATAAATATAAGGGAATGCCTTCTAATGGGTACATAAGAACCTTAAGAGGCAGAAAATGGTCAGTCTACACACACACACACACACACACACACACACACACACATGAACATTCTAATCTCACACACTTGAACATTCTAATCTATATCTCCTGGAAATGCACACCCACTGTCCCCAACATGTAAAGATAATGGTGGTTTAAGAGATAACCCTTTTTTTAAAAAAGCATGTTCTAAGCAAGTGTAAGATGGTAAGTTAACAGAGGTTCAGGGCACAGAGCTACACTTTAGGGTTCACAAAATAAAATACAGTTACATAGCTGTTTATAAACAAAATCATTGCTAACATTAGTAGCTTGGTTGCTATAATTCACTATTAGTGCTGTCCCTACATTGTCTGTGAAGGTAATCTGCTTACAGGAAGACAGATTTCATGTGAAAAAGTATTACGGGTAAGTGTTACTTCAGCAACTTTCCTGAGTGAATGTCATTCTGTGTTGAGTGCCATCACACATTTCTGGACAGTGTCCAATCTTTTCTCATTCTGTTATAAATCTGTGCTAGAATTTTCAAGCCCCTGTGGTTGCTTATTTCAGAGAAATCCAAATTACATGTAGTGAAATTCAGTGTAGAAAAGTGATACAGAAGAGTTATTCTGAGTAGCCAAATCTCTATGGACTTTGAACAAGCTGTTTGCAAAAGGGCATCAGAAGGTTAGCAAATTAAACAGATAAGATTTAAATCACTTTCTCCTTTCTGTGCCAGATGTTTTAACATAGGTTAAACAATAATTAAAAGGGAGCATCAGGTCTGGGAATATACCCTATACAGCCATTGCTCTGAAAACTCATGTTACTGACATTATAGTCATTAATTATTGAGACATGAATTTTAGACTCAGTCTTGGTTTTACCAGGAGCTAAGTGTATGTTAACATATTTTGTCACGCATTGCAAGTCCATCATTTCACATGTGAATGAATGCGTTTCTGTGCCTCCAACTGTTGCACAGCTTTGCTTCATCACTAACCCGTGTTGTTCTCCCTGTGCTGGGGCGCAGCTAGCAAACATTCTTGCAAAGGGTTAGATAGCAGATATTTTAGACTTTGTATCTCATCTATTCAATTCTGCTAATGTAACACTCAAGCAGCCATTAAAGATATGTAAATGAATGGACTTGGCTGTGTTCCAACTTTATTAACAAAAATAGGTTACCGGCAGGATTTGGCTTAAGG